CACACACACACACACACACACACACACACACACACACACACACACGCACGCAGACAATATGTGTTTATACGTGGGCTGCAAAATATGACGACGGTGACGGTGACGGTGTCAACACAATATTACTACGGTTGCAAACATGATATGAAGCATGACTGCGGGAAATACGCTCACTGACCCATCCAATGGAAATCCCAGTTACGGTTCGGATCCGTTCCGACGCATGGATTACCCGGATTGGGCGACCGAGTCTTTCTCCACATGCGATCCTAATTAAACAAAACGCACACGTATATATATATATATATATACTTATATATATATATATAGAGAGATGAGAGAGCAAGAGAGAGAGGGGGGAGAGAGAGAGTGCGAGCGAGAGAAGAGAGTCGAAGATGAACAAAAATGCGACCTTAGATTAATCTAAATATAGTTATTATAACTAGATAGATAGATAGCATTATAGATGACTCAATCTAACTAACTATACGTTAACCAACTATCTTATATTATAGATATATGATTAATATTATTAGATAGATAGATTAGATAGCATAGATAGATAGATGGATAGATAGCATAGATAGATAGATTAGATAACGATAGATCGGATAATAGATAGATATGGTATATATATATAGATAGATAGTTGCGTTTTAGTTAGGTTAGTTAGTATAGGTTATTCTGGTCTGTCCCTGTTTGTTTTGTTTTTCTTTTGCTTTTTTCTTTTTCACCCCTTCAGCCTTGTGTTCTTCGCGTTGTTTGTATTTTTGCTCCGTTTTCGCTTTTTTGCGCGCGCTTTCTGGTGTGCCTGTTAGTTAGTTAGTTAGTTAGTTAGTGTAGCCGTTAGCTTAGCTTAGCTTTAGTTTGTTTAGAAAGTCAGCTTAGTTCACATAGATAGATGAGATTAGATAGATTAGATTGATAGATAATTAGATAGATACGATAGATTAGGATGATCAGGTAGATAGATTGATAGATTTATATATATAATTATCATATTTTCTATTCTGTATTCTTATATTCATTCTTTATTTTAATCTATCGCCATTACTGTGAAAAGATACAATGATATGTTCGGGTGTCTGTCGGTGCTTTCCCTATTGAAAGTTTCCGACTAGACTATTGCGCCACAGATACGTTCCACAGCGTTAGCAAGCTTCGATATACGTACGTCACAGCGTTAGCAAGCTTCGATATACGTACGTCACAGCGTTACCAAGCTTCGATATACGTACGTCACAGCGTAGCAAACGCCTTCGCATGTATTACGTACGTCACACGTCGTTTAGCAGAGCTTGCGATACATACGTACGTCACCAGCCGTTAGCAAGCTTCGATATTGACCGCTACGTCACCAGCGGTTAGGCAAGCTTCGAATATTACGTTACGTCCACAGCGTTAGCAATGCTTCGATATAACGTATCGTCACAGCGGTTTAGCCAAGCTTCGATTATACGTACGGTCATACAGCGTTAGGCAGCTTCGAGTATACGGTACTGTCACAGCGTTAGCAACGCTTCGATATACGGTACGTCCAGGCGCTTACCAAGCTTCGGATATACCCGTGCACGTCACAGCCGCTTAGCAAGCCTTTCGTAATACGTACGTCCAGCAGCGTTAAGCAAGCCTTCGTATACGATACGTGCACAGCGTTACAAGCTTCGACTATACGTACGTCACAGCGTTTAGCAAGCCTTCGATTTACGGTGCTACGTCACAGGCGTTAATTCAAGCTTCGATTATTAGCGCCTACGTGTCACACCGTTAGCAAGCTTTCGATTATTACGTACGGTCGACAGCGTTAGGCAGAGCTTCGGATATACTGTACATCGACAGGCGTACGCCAAGCTTCGACTATACGTACCGTCACAGCGTGTAGCCCAAGCTTCGATTATACTGTACGGTCACAGCCGTGTAGCAAGCTTCGGATATTACAAGGTAGTACGTCCACAGGCGTTAGCCAAGCTTCGAGTTACGTA